GTCAGAATGGGCAGGAAATGATTCCTGGAAGAAATGAATCAAAATTGAATTTTAGAAATTACATTAAGATTTAAGTAGGCCAAGGAGAAAAGACTATGTAGATAATTACATGTAGAAAATGCATTAGTCTCTTCAAAATGTGGAAAGTGGCTAAACTGAGATGGGGGGCAACAAGTCATGTCAAATGGGATTAGAGAGGTACAGAGGGATCAGACCATCAGGGACGTTTTGAAGTCACATTAAGGTGTTTAGACTATATTCTGAGTGCAGCAAGGATTCACGTGTGTGTGTATTCAATCCGAAGTAGTCTGGGTTCCTGGTAGGGACGAGATTCAAAGGGGAATCATAGTCTCCAGGTAAGATGCTGCGAGCAGTTGGCAAACAGGAAGGGGAGGGAACATCTTGGAGGAATATTCAGGTCATGGATCAGCAAGAGGACTCTTCAGTGGAGGGGGGTGGACAGGCCATCACTGGGGTCACTTGAAGGAGCTGATTGGGGGAAAGCGAGTTCAGTCTTGTCTGCGGCTCTCGATTATCTTTATGGCAGCTCTAGCCTCTCTCAGGTGGGAGGGGGGGTAGGCAGCTGTGTGCACAGGGGTGGGGTTTGGATGTCGGAACTCTCTGAAGTCCAGTGCTCGTATTTATTAACCGAAGGTAATAATATCTTCCTCATAATGTGATTGTGTAGGTTGATGTGACTGTAAAACAACACACACAGTGCTAAAATAAGGCAAATGTTACCGTTTTCACGTCCAGTGCTCTTTACCATTGTCAGTGTTGTTTTTGTTCCTGTTACCCAGTTCTATAGCCTGAGATGATTAAAAAGATAACAGCCAACACCTACCAGGCACTCTTCACTCTTAGTGTTGTTGGATATGTTGGTCATTCTGAAAGTTTTGAAATATGAAAATATCAAGAAATGTATAATCGGCATGGATGGAAACCAATGAAGCCCTCCCGGCAACACTGATGAATTGAACACGTAGAGACTTGCATGGGTGAATCAGAAAGGACGGTATCAAGTGTGTTTCTTGGAAGTGAAATAATGGACCGTAACCCAGTCCGTCTCAAAACTTTCCTAGTGACCTATACATATAATGAATCATTTAATCCTCAGAAAAACCATTTGCAACAGTTTTTATCATCTCCATTTCTTGTAGATGTGAAGGTAGGCACAGAGAGTTTAAGCAACTTACTAAAGATCATACAGCTAGGAAGTTTGGGACCTTGGATTTCAAGCAAGACAGTCAGACTGCCATTGTTGCATTTTAAAACACTGCGCTATGATGCCTCCCCCATGGGAAGATGATGTATTGGACTATACTCTTCTTAATAAGCTTTTAACTGCCAATCAGTCTATATTATTCATGATGCCCCTTAAGAATGTTCTAGTGGTAATTTTTGTTTTATTCCTTTTAATAGTTCTACTATTTCTGAAAATACCTTGTGTAGAGAACCCACAATTCTGGTCAAGTTAATGTTAAAACATTCTTCTATTTTATGTCATGATGTCAAATCTACTACTGATTGCCTTTTATGCACATAAAAGTAAACTTAAGATTTCCATTTCAGATTCATATCTCCAAGCACTTTTATATCCATTCACTTATAGATTTGAAAGGAACTTAAAATATTCTTACTCAATCACAAACCGAATGTGACTTAATTTTGCCAAGTGGTTATTGTAATAAGACTTAGACAATTTCAGTCACAGAATTCTTCCTAGACAAATCACTTCTCAGGACGTGTAGGTGTCCCTGGTAACTTTTCTTTACCACTATTTCCCAAGCACCTAACAAGTTGTCTGGCACATGTCCTGTGGTCTGTATGTGTTCTAGAATGAATGATTATTAAAAACACACTGTTTTTTAAGTTTTCCTGTAGTTCTGCAATGACAAAGCAAAATTTCCTTAATTCAAGATAGGTTTATGTAAAAGAGAGGCTAAAATGACCATGGAAACATTTTTATTTGAAAAAAGGTTGACATGTAGTAAATTCCAACTATTTGTGAATATTGGGCCTGCCAGGAGTTAAAAAGATATGTTATCTTCCTTAAGTAGGGAGGCAGGCAAGTTGGGCTTGCTTCATAAGGCTGGATAATTTCCATTCCGACCTCTTCAAAATGGATAATTGAACCTTATTCTGAACTAGGGAGGAAATCAAAACTTCAAGTTGGTAAACGCATATTATGGAAGATGTTTAGTGTCTATGGAAAGGAAACTGTGGCCGGAGTTCTGCTTCATAGTTTCCCTTATTCCCTCTTTCCCATTATTCCAGCAGCACTGTCCTTAAATAGCACCCAGTAGAAAATAGTTCTAATTTTGATACTTTTTATTATAGCATCACTATATATATTATATTTCAAAAGTCCAGTTGTTCCTAAATTTATTCATCTAAATGCTAAAAAAAGCATAAAGAATGATTTTTCAAAGTTAAATTTGAAATAATCTATTTAAATGCCTGTCCCTGGTTTTCCGTTAGAAAAGCCTCATATGCCAGGTTCAAAGCCAAATTGGGATTCGCAATGCCTGTTCAGAGTATATTTTCAACAAAATTATTCGTGACACCTGATGGCAATGATGCGTTTGTGGCTGCTAAGTCGCTCTTGGCCATCCCATCCATCTCTAGGTGCGAGTGCCTTTCACTGCACTGTGAGCGGCTGGCAAAAGCTGGATCTGTCACAGGTGCCACGATTTATATTTCAGAAAATTCACTTTCCCAACTTTAATTATCCCCAAAGTAGCCCACTACAAAAAGTACGAAAAGGAGTCAGCATTTTTCTTTAGTTCAGTACTTTGATGTAAATTAGGATTTTGTCTACTTTTTACATGAGGTATAGATGATGGAGTTTTGAGTGAAGGGGGAGGCCCTTTGCTTTACAATGTAAAACAGTATTTTCTATTCATTTTTCCACCTTGAAATTAAGGATAAAAAGTAATGCAAATGTAGCCCTCAGTAAATTAACATTGACAGTGTGACAAACCTTCCTTCTTAGAAGGGAGCAGGTGTGAATTTGATAGAAGATGTATAGATTTAGCCACTAATTTTTGAACATGAGAAATTGAAAGTTCTAATATTAAATAAACTTAGGAATTACCTTTTCTTATGCCGGTGTGTTTAAACTCACCAAAATAAGTGCTTATCATCTTTGTAATAGGCAGCCTGTCCTTTGCAGAGAGGCCAAGGAAGTGGAGACAGACTGTGGAGAAAAGACTCAGCAGAACAGCCCCTCTGAGTGTCAGCACACATCAGTGGCTTGCTTGCTTTCTTCGATAAAAAATATTTCTTCTTCAAAACTTTAACACATAGGCCAGATTGAAAAGTTTCTCTTAAATATTTTCACTGTAGAGGTAGTTTCTTTGACTGAAGTTACTCAATTAGAAGACCTTTGACCCTGGAAATGTGGGAGAAATGCATGACCTTTAGGAGTCTAACGTTGTTTGATGCGAACTGGGAGGTGCGCTGTGGTTAGGGCTCTTTGGGAGATTTCAGAATGAGATCTTTCATCTTGCATGTCTCTCTCTTTATGTTAGTGCAGTTCCAACAGATGAAAGTCGTCAACTGAAGTGAAAATGAGTGTGTTTACTGGTGATCGTTTAATCTTTAAATTGTAATTATAATTTTAAATTCTTGCAGGATTATTTAACCATTCACAAGTATGGCAATGCAGCCAGAAATGATCTCTGGAATACATTATCAGAGGTAAAGTATTAGAAGCTCAAATATCGAAAACCTCTACTTGAATTGAGTTAGTAAGACATTCATAACTTACATTGACACTGACAGTTGGTTTTTACTTTTGTATTTCCCACTTCCTCATATTGTTTTTGTTTTGTGCTTAATATTATGTATTCTAAAGATAATGGGGTTTAAAATTACTTAAACAGTAAGTCACACTAACAGAAACCTGATTTCAAACAGGAAAATAGTTCTGAAATATAATTTTAATGTCTTATAAGCTATTCATTAAAGAATGAAGTATCAAGGTTTTAATTTTTCTCTATATAAAGAGGGCACCAAAAATTGAATATACATTTTAAGAAAGGAAAAAATATCCATATTAAAAATGTAATACTTCAATATATCCTGATAACAAAAGATGAATACAAGTCACGTTAAGCACCTCTTGTAATTGTAGAAATGAAATGTGACTTGAGTATTATGAATTTAATTTAATACAGCTTTATCTTTTCTTAGATAGTGTATACATTTTTGGCACCCTCTGTATGAATTACAGATATTTAAATGTGACACTAAACATACTGAAGATTCATAATGCTGCAAGAATTTCTTTAGCAATAAAATATATATTTTTTCTATTATGTGAAAACTTCAATGTGAAGACAATTTACCTTTTTGTGTTTTTCTGTATACCCTGTGTATATACATGAAGCCTGACTTCAGGCAGAACTATTAATTTTCCCAGCACATTGTACTGACTGCAAATATTTTCATATTTAAGTTAATTGTAAAGGGGAAAATGAAATTGGCTTAATGTTAATTATGTTTATAATCCAGGCCTATAAAACTAATTTGTACAATTTTTGTTATAAAGGCTTTAAAAAGAAATGGAAAATATGTAAATATCCAAGCAGTTATGGATCAGTGGACCCTCCAGATGGGTTATCCTGTGATCACCATCTTGGGAAACACAACCACCACCAACAAAGTAATAATCACCCAACAACATTTTATTTACGACATCGGTGCTAAGACTAAAGCACTTGAACTTCGAAACAGCAGGTACGACTCTCCTTTACGTGACAAGGTGGCTGCGTTCTGACATCTCGCTTTGAGTTTCAAATAGCCTTGACAATACAATTCCAGTGTTAAGCGAAGGGTCACTCTCATTTCTTTCCTCACACTTGCTGTTTGAATTTTGGTTCTCCCATCACTCCCGTTTTCTGGATAGCTTTTATTTGTACGGGGACCACATACCAAGCTTATTTGTTTAGAAAGACAGAAGTTTTAATTATCCTGGTGATTTAAAAAATAAGATGTGATTTTTTACTTTTCCTCATGAATGTTTCTTGAATTAAACTCAAGAAAGTTGTGCTGCAGTGAGTTAAATGGAATTGAGCAAGCTGTGAGATTTATAAAACAAATGAGGAAAGAAGCTAATAATCCAGAAAAACTAATTAAGCCAAACAAAAATCTAAACTAAATAATGTCTGAGTCAAAGAAACTTAAAACAAATAACTTAAAATGATGTAAGTATCAGTGCCACCAAGTATCAAAAATATGTTCTCCCTCCCTCATTTTGAGGGTTTCAAACTACTGAACAGACAGCATACTTAAAATCTCTCTAGTAGATATTTTTTAACTTCCTATTGAAACTCTTATTTAATTACTCATAACTCAGCTTGTAGGATTTTTTTTTTCTTTTCTACTTAATGATTTCTGACTATTTAGTGTCTCATTAAAAGCTGAGCCAAGGAAAGATAATAGAACTTAAATTAGTCAGTTTCATTTCCTATAAGATGCCCTGGTAAGAGGTTGGACAAGGGTTGGGGGACAGGGAGGGGGACAGGTTAACTCTAACAAATAAACGGGTTGTTGGCATTAGGTTACTTGAGCCATCTCCCATTACCTGAGAAAATTAGGCGTCTGATTTTATCATCCTCTGTATCTAGGAAATGTGGAACATACATTAGTTTACTTTGTTATCTGTAGGAAGAATGGAAATTGTTCCCAAGAAGGCAAACTCCAAGACTTGCTATCCAGAGAAGTAATTTAGGATTCATGAATGTTTCTGGTGACTAGCTTTCGAGTTTGACTCAGGAAAGCAGGGTCCAGAATCTCCTTCTCTGCACGCAGTCCACACCACCCGCACACACGCCCTTTGCGGTGCGTCCTGCTGCCTGGGCCGACGGAATGCAGTGTTCCCCGGCCACCTGTTACCACTGCGCGGGGCTGACTCTGACCGTGAGCTTCTTTGCTCAGCCTGGATTCGCTCCAGCTGCCGAGTGCTGCTTCTAACCATCCACCGTCTGGCCCCAGGCTAAACATGCTTAGGGATCAACCTGGCCTTGCCAGGAAGTACATAAAAACTGCTTGACTGTGGCAAAGCTGGAGAGATTCAGGGCAGGCCTTTGAGAATGATCAGTCTGACACAAGCATCACTGAGGCAGAAAAACATAAAGGACACACGGATGACAGAACAAATTTTGAACAAAAATATTCTGCCAACCTATAACATACATCAGATGTACCCGCCACCCGGCTGTCTCTTCACATGAAGCGTTTCTCCCAGGCTGTCTCAGCGGCCGTCTGCGGCATCTCCACTGCTTTGCTTCTGCCCGAGTTATAAAAGCATACGGATGATTTTGAACCCTGAGAACTTGACATATAAAATATTAAGATATTACAGGGCATCCTAATAGTCTCGAAAATGATTTCCTATTTATTTTTAAATAATAGAGCTTGCAGTTGAAGATTTAGTATTTCAGATTTGTATTACTGATCACTGGCTTCACTGTAACGATTTTGGTCAAAGTGTCAATGCCAGTTTGATCTGGCTTTTGTATGTAGCCTGCCTAGATCTTTGTTAGAAAGCAAACAGTTGATGGAATAAATCCTACTGCCCATCAATACCAGAAATCCTGTGAATTGTGGATATTTTCTGAGCCAGGATGATCAATTCTTTGTCTTCATTTTTCTGAGGGACACCAGAGTGTCAACAATACAATGTGCCTAGAGCATTTTTAATGTACCCAGTAACTGTGTTTTTGTATGTAATAGTCGTGTTACAGCCTAGAAAAGAAAGATCTTTCATAACTAAATAATCACATACAGTTAGCTGGTATGTAAAAGAGTGTAAGATAAATGTTAGAATTTTGATACAGGGGAGATTGCTAATTTGTGAGATTGCTTTTTTCTTTTCTTTATGAAGTTAATGTGTCGCAATGTTAAGTAATGTTTTCTTCTACACTGAGAAACCTCCAAGTTCTGTGCTGCAGGGAATTACATTTCCCTCCACAGTTGTTCCTAACTTCTCCTACTGACCTGATGATAGCAATATCTGAACAGATTTTAATAAAGTCCACACTAATGCTTCATTGACACAATACTATTTTTTTTAAAGATTTATCAACCAAGTTAATTTGGACCTATTCTTTTCTGCCTCTGTGTAATTAGTATAAATTTTCTTTATTATAAAAATTCACACTACTAATGAGGAAATGTAGTCTCAGGAACTATTAAAGAGAAAACGTCCTGGGGTTCTTTTAAAATGCATTTTTTTTCTTTTTACTTTTTTAATGTTTAAAATGAGAGACTAAAATTGAAGTTACACCTAAGCATTAGATTAGAACCCAATCTGATTTCACAAACTCTCACAGTCTCCTTCCAGACACAACCTATGACAGTCTGAGGTTCTTTGCAGCGTCCCAGACCGGGCTTCTCACTCAACTGTGTTTAGTATCTTTTACGCTTTTAAGTTGTCATCACAAAACAACATAATAATTGTGCCTTATTTGATTTAAGAATGAAATTTATGAAAAGACCAAATAAATTTACTTGGAAAATTATGAACAATGACTTGTAGTATGGACAGCACTGCTGTTGGGAAGTGAATACATATTCCAGATGTGCGTGGTAACTCGTGACTTTTAACTGTTTTTTGATGAGTTGTGGATTTAGGTTTTGTGTATGTATACATACACAAATGCACAAATATAGAATAGAATACAAAACCGTTCTTAGGAGACATATAGAAGTCTAGCTTTAAGAAGTTTTACACTATGCCTCAATGTTTATATCTAAGTCTGATATTTAACTTGCATCTGAACAGCTGTGTGATGTCATACCTGACATTGAGAGTTATCTGTGTGAACGCAGATATTTGTGTGAATCTCTTTCCTGTACTTCAGAGACATGTTCTAAATCTTAAATATTGAAACATACCAACTTTATCATAATCTAAAGGTTTTTAGAAGAATACAATTTAAACACATGAAAAAATATGTTTGTTTCTATTAAGTGCAAACAAAATTCCACGAACATTCTATGATCCTACTGCACAAAAGACATATTTATCCTTTCCAAATCAATGTGGATGACGTACACTGAAAAGTCAAGTTTATAAAGGTAATCTCTGTCTCACCTACAGTTTGATTTGGTGCCTTTTTATTTTGCTTTAACCCAAGCACGTTCAATCAAATTTAACAGTAATTTATGAAGTGCCTCCTGTCTGCAGGTTCTTCCAAGATCAAGGTATACAGAATGAACTTCCAAGCAAGCTTGAGAATCAGAGCCAGAGTAGGACAGTGTTATCCCTTAACTAATTATTCCAGTTAGCCAAAAGAGATCCATCATTTGTAGATCTTCCACGGTAAATATGTCATCAAATATTTAAGGTATATTCTTAGTCTTCTCTGGGAGGCTTGGGCTGCTGTTCACCACCTATTATCTGAAGAATCAATGTAGGTTTGATTACTATAAGTTTTTTATTTCCTGACTGATTGTGTGGAGTCCGGTATTAGTGTAGAATAGCGTCTCCACAGAGTTGGTATTAGTGTAGAATAGCGTCTCCACAGAGTTGGTGCTAAAAGATGTTTTTCTTATTAATAACAACAGATAATTCAAAATTTAGAATTTTAAACTTATTGTTTTGACATGCAGTGCTGTAAATAGCATTTGGTGTAAAACTTTTTCCAATCTCCATTTGGATTCTTTACTGAGTTCTGTTCATTGTGATACAAAACATGAAATGATTAAATAATCACGTTCCATCTGCCATATTTCCTCTCCCTGCTAAAGACATATTTAATGCAATCTTCATTTGCCCCAGCAACTTTCCAGAAAAAATCTTCAATTCTTTATTCACTCTCATCATTATTGAGCTCATGTAGTATCTCTTCTTACATTTCTAAATTAAAAAAATATTCTTCCATTACTGAAATTTTTGGCTGTTGCTAATGGTGCAATGATGGATGAAAATAAACTTACTGTATGTCAATGATGGAAACAAAATCTAGTGATTGGACTTACTTGTAAAACCATCCAGCGTATTTTATGGTTACTCACTTGAGACTAAATTGATACTTCATGTACAAGTACAGCACTCAGTTTTACCCTATAGAAAGGTAAATGCCAGAAATTGCTTCTCTTTGGAAGCTGGGACTCATGTTGGTGGATGATGCTTTGATACAACAGTATGGAAATTCCATTTGGGAAGCAGAGTGTTAAGGGTTTACCACAGTATTCTTTATACTGATCTGGATTTTAGGGGAACCTGACTAGTTTTACTCTTCTCTCTTTTTTGCTTTAGGTATTTCCGTTAACCTGTCTGTAAAGTGTGTTAATAGTGACCTGCAGAATAATTAGACAATAAATAAAGAGAATATTTGAATGGGAATACGTGAAGCCACTGAAACATGTTTCAGTCTAACACAGCACCAAATAGAAAGGAGTTATTTGTAGATTTTAATCAATATACAACGTGATTCATATTTATAGATATTAGTTACTTATTATTTTGAATGCAAAAGGCAAAGACAGATCTGTTTTTCTTTCAAGATAACTGTTTTGTTGGCAGTACTGTTTTTGCACTAAAGTTAAAACTCTTGGAGGCTACGTCTTCTTAGTGGCTTTAAAAGAACAAATTCATCTTCCTTACTGATTCCTTATTTTTATGACTGGGAAGTTTTTTTAAGTTTCCCTAAAAAGAAGAATAAATATGACATAGAAAATGCATGGGAAATGTTTGATATTTTTTTGTTTTAAAGTTTCTCTTTTATTTTGCAGTTACCTGTGGCACATCCCATTAACTATCGTGGTGGGAAATAGAAGCCATGTGTCTTCAGAAGCAATTATTTGGGTGTCTAACAAATCAGGTAAAATGTACCTTCTCCCCTGAGGTACTATCTGGATTCAGACAATAGTTTAGCAGCTTAACTTCTGGCTTGAGCGCTTATAAAAAGGTGAATAAAGAGAAATTAGAAAGAGAAGATAGAAGAATTATAATCGCCTCTATCAAATTAGGTGTAGTGTAGCATAGTTTCTAAATAGTCTAATTCCGTCTCCTATATAATTACTACATTTGTTTCTAATCTTAGCTGCTTTAAATGGTATAATTTTATAACTCCAAATGTAATTAAAATATAATTATAAGCCCCAAGAGAACAGTATGCCAAATACTAAAATGCATGCTTTATTTTTAAAGCCACTTTCTTGCTATCTTCGCTGTAACCGACTCTCTCTTTAAGGGATGAGAGAAGAAACAGCCTCCATAGAATTATATAATTATAGGGCTGGAAGGGAGGGGCTTGGACAGGTCATCAAACCACTGCCTAGGTAGGGTCAGACCTCAGAGAGCAGGGAAACATGAGATCCTATTCTCCTTCTAAATATCTTCAAGTAAGATAGTGACTTATTTCAATTTACTGTCAGAAAGCTATTTCTTGAATCCAATCTATATCCTTCATGCTACACTGTGAAACCACTTCCTTTTATCTGTTTTCCACTGAGCAGGAGAAAAAGTCAATTACCATCTTTTATGTAACATCCATTTAGGTTTAAATGGTCAAGTGTGTTCATATTTTGTTTTTCTCCTTTCTCACATGCTATTAATTGATGTTATTTTAAGCATGTTTTAAATAGCTGTAAAACTTTTATTTTAAATAAGATGAAATATAGGAATAAATAAACATTATTTTTCCCTACTGTCTTGCTGTTATAAGGGAAATTTAAGTGCTCAATATACATACATACATTCAAGAAAATGTTCCCACAGCAAGATCTAATAAGGTTACCAAAAACATAAACAGTTATAGTTTCAGAAACATTTTTCTTTAAATTTTCATCTTACTGTATTTTAACACATAATCACATATTATGAAAATATATGCTTTCACTTATGTATATTGTATGTAAAACATTGATATCTAATACAGTGATGCACTGAGGTGGTTCACACCTGTAATCCCAGCACTTGGGAGGCTGAGGCAGGTGGATTGCCTGAGATCATCGGTTCAATACCAGCCTGAGGCAGAGCGAGACCTTGTCTCTAAAAATAGCCAGGCACTGTGGTGGACGCCTGTAGTTCCAGCTACTGGGGAGGCTGAGGCAAGAGAATCATTTAAGCCCAAGAGTCTGAGGTTGCTGTGAGCTGTGATGTTACAGCACTCTACAGAGGGCAACAAAGTGAGACTCTGTCTTTACAAAAAAATAAAGTTGTGTTTTCCATCTAAATTGTTTATTGTAATCTATTATTTTTATTTCCTGGAAGTGATATGTATATCGTGATTCTGAATGGTACTGTATTATTTGTCTTCATACTTCATTTTTCCTTATGTTGTTCTTGAATACATCTACATAGGTTATGAAATCATGAGTGAAAGCAGTGAGTTGTTATTTTAATGATCTCACTATTAGAATGAAGTCACCCTTCCACAGGATTGCTAGAACAGTCTTCAGAAAAAAAGTAAACATTTACCTTTGGAAGGTCGGACGGAAATGGGAAAATTAGAAGTGTGTAAAGATACTGATCAAACATGAGGATTAGCATGAAAGTTCACTGTCAGACAGTGGGAAGATGC